TATATAAAAATGCCAAGGATTTATGTAGGTTTATTTTATATCCTTCTACTTTGCTAAAATTATTATTTCAACTAACTTTTTAGTTGAATCTCTAGGATTTTCCAGGTGTATCATCATAATATCTTATGGCTATTGCTAGCATTTCTAATACAATATTGAATAATATTTGTGATAATTGGCATCTTTGTTTCACTCCTGATCTTCTAGCGTATCTCCATTACAAATGATGCTGGTTGATGGTTTTAGGTAGATGCTTCTTGTTTTAAAGAAAAATCCATTTAGACCTATGATTTCAAGTGTTTCTAATAGGAATGAGTGTTGGATTTGGTCAAAAACTTTTTCTGCATCTATTGATACAATCATATGATTTTTATTATTTTTGTTATTGATATAATCAATTATGTTAGTCGTTTTCTTTATGTTAAACCATCCCTGAATTCCTGGTATAAATCCCACTTGATTACCATGTATAATCTTTGTGATATATTGTTGTAGTCTCCTAGTTAGTATTTTATTTAGAATTTTTGCATCCATATTCCTTAATGAAATGAGTCTATAATTTTCTTTCTCTGTTTTTGCTCTTCCTAGTTTAGGTATCAGCACCACATTTGTTTCATAAAATCAGTTTTATTATTCCAAATAATCTATTTAATATTAGAATTTGAAACTGGAATTAGGTGATCTTTAAATGTTTGGTGGAATTCACTTGAAAATCAATCTGGTCCTGATGTTCTTCTCTTTTCTTCTCTTTTCTTCTCTTTTCTTTTCTTTTCTTTTCTTTTTTTTTTAAGGCAATTGGAATTAAGTGACTTGCCGAGCCAGTAAGTGTCAAGTGTTTGGTCTAAGGCCAGATTTGAACTCAGGTCCTCCTGACTCCAGGGCCGGCGTTCTATCCACTGCATCAGGTGGAATAGGAAGCTTACTTATTGCCTATTCTTTAATCATATGATCTCATCATGACCAATACTTTAAAAATCTACACAGATTGATTCCTCTGCTTTTAAAGGTCTCTGCTGTGTTTATATGTATCACTCTAAATCAATAGGAAGTTTTAACTGTACTTACCTATCTAATAGCAACAATCTGCCACTACATTTCCCCAAAACAACAGGATTATTTCATGATTCCTTTAAAAATGTTGCTCACACTTTGATGTAGCAATAAAATAATTTGTTATATAGCCAAAGTAGTCAACATACATATAAACATGGAGATTAAAAAGATAATTTCCTGGAAAAATACTCAACCATCTCAGTGGGTACTTGATGAAGGAATGATAAAGTTTCACAAAAAAAGATGAATAATTCACTTGTAATGTGAACATCCAGTGGCCTATTTTCCATATGTTACTCCATGAAAATCCCTCCTTTCATGCCTTCTTTAATACCTACCTTTTCTATTTCCATTATTTCATCATTCCCACCCATGTCAATCAAAGCTGTCATTGAGACCTGCTAACATAAACACCATGTGTGTATTTTAAAAGCTATTTCTTTACCATCTGTTTCTTTTTAATTTTTCTTCACCTTTCACTCCTCATGCCTACTGTTGTAGGACTGTTTTCTTTCTCTCCCTCCATGTCTAGCATTTTTTTTTCCTGCCAGAATGAGTCTTGGAAGCAGAATCAAGGCACTGAAAGGTTCACCCTTGCATTTTTTCAAGTTATTTTGAAAAGCAATCTTCAAGTTAATGTGATATTTATATCAGTACCTGAACTGAAGGGCTTCTTTACAAGCTGTGTGTGTGGTTTTTTTAAGGCAATTGGGGTTAAGTGACTTGCCCAGGGTCACATAGCTAGTAAGTGTCAAGTGTTTGGTCTGAGGCCAGATTTGAACTCAGGTCCTCCTGACTTCAGGGCCGGTGCTCTCGCCACTGCGCCACCTAGCTGCCCCAAGATGTGTGATCTTCACGAAGTTATTTGCATCTTTGGGTCTCAACTTCCTTATCTATAAAACTTTGTCCAGTCCTTTTTCAGTTGTGTCCGATTCTGTGACTTCATTTGGGGTTTTCTTGGCAAAGATACTAGAGTGGTTTGCCGTTTCCTTCTCCAGCTTATTTTACAGATGAGAAAACTGAGGCAAACAGGGTTAAATGACTTGCCAAGAGTCACACAGCTAGTAAGTGTCTGAGGCCTGCACTCAGGACTTCTGATTCTTCTCTGGTGCTCTATCCATTGCGCCACCTAGCTGCTCTATGCATAAAATGAAAAGGTGATTTTTAAGGTCTCTTTTAGCTCTAAGGTTCCATGACTCTATTACTCCAAAGAGGAGTATTCTTGAGCCACTCTTCATTTTTCTGTTTCTAATGTGTGTAGTTGTAAAAGGATCGAGCTGAAATTCTTGTAGACTCTGATAGGCTAAGCACATAATTAAAGTTAGCACAGGTTCTGCTGAGACTTACAAAGGCATGAGTTTATGGCAGTATGCCTCTTAGATCCCAGGAACCGTGGAGAGCATAGGAGTTAAAATCCTAGTCCCTGACCTCAAGGAGCTTGCAATCTAGCTGAAAAGACAGAATTAAAAGAACCATAGAATACTTAAGAGCCAAATCTGAGCTTGTACCTGGTCTCAGTTACTTCCTAACATTGTGAACCTGGGCAAGTCATTTAATCTCTGCCTCATTTCCCTCTTCTGTAAAATGAGGATAATAAAAGCACCTACTTTCCAAGATTATTGTCGGAATAAAATGAGATAATATTTGTAAAGTGCTTTGCAAAATTTAAAGTGCTATATAAATATTAGCTATTCTATCATCATCATCATAATAATATATAAACTGTATGCTAGCGACTATCATTATTATTATGAGTAGTAGTTGGAATAAATTTCTTTCTCCTTTTCTTCTCTCTAGCTTCTTTTCCAAAATGTCACCATCCTGAATCATTTTAAAGTGGGGGTGGGGAGGCTCACACAGCCAGGAAATATTGAAGCCAAGATTTAAATTTGTTTGTCTGGACTCAAGGTCCTGCAATATAAATATGGAAGGTATGAAGTCCAGAAAACAATTGTCTTTGTTTTACTATAATGCAGATAAATTCTGGCTGACACATAGTAGGCACTTAGTAAACATTTATTGCTTGACTGACTTGTGTTCATCTGTTTCTCATAAACTAGCAAGCATTAAGATGCTAGATTTCTTTTCAGCATCTTCAACAAAAGTTTAAGCTGTTTAAAAGTAAATTCATATCATAAATTTGTGCTTTTTGCCTAGATAAACTTCACTTCTAAATTTAATATAGAACACATTATGATTTTATGGTTGAACCAAATTGCCTATAATACCCTTATGTTCCCAAACTAACAAAATAACAGGTGTTTATAAAGCTCAGCTGCACATATTTAATTCTTTCCCCCAGAATTTCCATTTTTCCCCAGTTGGTTTAAAAATGCCTGGAAATTTTCCATCTTTAAATCCAGAGCACTTTCCATTGATTACATATCTTTGGTCAAAGACAAATGCAACTCCAACTCATCTTAAATATCAAATGTGCTATTTGAATTTAAATATGCATTAAATATACATTTTTTACCAAAATGCTGTGTTAGTCATGACACTGGATTGAGCCCTGTATAGAACATGTAGATGTAATATCTACCTCTTAGGAACATTCAGTCTAGGAGTAACAGCAGATTTCTGTTCCATTATTGAAAGAATTTACAAATCAAACAAGTTTTCTTTAAGGACAAGCAATTTTGAGGCTAAGCTGGGATTTGAAGTTTGATGCTGTATTAAGATTGGGATGAAATTTGTGGGGGTGTGACAGTAACTGACATGTGTATAAAACTTAAAGGTTTGCAAATAGGTTTGTTTTTCCCTTTCCCAACACTCCTGTGAGACAGGTAGTACAGGTATTACTATTTCCCTTTCACAGGCAGAGAAACTGATTTTTCCTAGCAGTTTCTTCACCATGACCTTACTTGTGTTCCCTCCTTCCCCCATACCTCCTCTCACTTTCCAAGAAAGACGGAAGGAAGGAAGGAAGGAAGAAAAAAGAAAGAAGAAAGAGAGAGAGAGAGAGAGAGAGAGAGAGAGAGAGAGAGAGAGAGAGAGAGAAAGAAAGAAAGAAAGAAAGAAAGAAAGAAAGAAAGAAAGAAAGAAAGAAAGAAAGAAAGAAAGAAGAAAGAAAGAAAGAAAGAAAAAAAGAAAGAAAGAAAAGAAAAGAAAGAAAGGAGGAAGGAAGGGAAACAAATATTTATTAAGTGCCTACTATCTGCCAGGAACTATGATAAATGTTTCATAAATATTGTCTCATTTGATCCTCATAGCAACTCTGGGAGATATGTGCTATGATTACCGTTGCCATTTTATATTTGAGAAAACTGAGGGAGACAGAGGTTAAGTTACTTGTTAAGGTTACACAACTAATAAGTGTCTAAGGCTGGATTTGAATTCAAGTTTTCCTGACTCTAGACCAGTACTCTATCTGCTGCCTCTTTCCAGCACTCCTTTTATGTATTGTCTTCCTCCATTAGAATATAAACTCCTTAAGGGCAGAAACTATCTTTCTTGTTTGTATTCCCGGTATAGCATAGTGTCTGGCAGCACCTTAAGTGCTTCATAAATGATTTATTATCTATCTATCTATCTATCTATCTATCTATCTATCTATCTATCTATCTATCTATCTATCTGTCTGTCTGTCTTTCTGTCTATCTATGATCTAGGACTAGAACCCGTGTCTCTGGATTGATAGTCCAATACTTTTTTTTAACATGGGGCCATGCTGCCTCACCAGGCCTATGTCAAAAGTCATCCTTTAATGCCTGCACCTTCAGAGGCCATACATATATTCAAACAATGCTGCCTTGGCTCAAAGTAATTTTGTAATGTTTGAGATTACCTTCAAGACCAACTGACAAGTTACTTACAAAGATTAGGTACATTAATTTTTTAGCCACTCCTTGTATTTTCAGGGGGGTCATACAACTTTCAAATACATTGGAAACAAATTAATGCCAGCTGTTTCACCTTGAGCAAAATGCCAGGATGGTCAAACTTACTTTGATCTGGACAATCTGAATTTCTTCATGCCTGATTTCTGTGAGAGATTTCCTTGTCTGTCCTTTTCTGTGGCCAAATTTACACTTATTCCTCATCACCTGCTCATCATCTTCTATGGGTCTCCGAACATATTTGAAGCGGTCTTTGAGTGCTCGTTTCCACAGAAACTGCAAAAAGTAACAACAGATAGACTTTGATCACTCACCATGAGGCTTTAGATAACCCTCCATAAACCAGGAGATCTCACTCCACTGTCAGTTCTGGCTTTGGAGACATTTTCACACTACATTCATTTGCTGAGTTTTAGGAAAGAAGTGATACTGGTCTTTGGCTACAAGTCCTCTAGATGGGGGACTGAACAATTCTCAAAAAACATTTTTCTGTCATCATTTGGAAATCTTTTTGGCTAATACAGTTATCAGCATGGTGATGGTGAGACTTCATGTCTGGGGAAATGGGTGAGCAGACCTGCAATGGATTCCAATGGTTTCTGATCACACTGGAGATTTCAGTCTGCTATCCTCTTAAAGAAGAAGAGGAAGTATATGTGGTCCAGTGAACTAAACCAAAGGTCTGGAACTCAGGTTATAATTTCTTTGTTTTGTTTTGGTAACTGTGCTAACATAGGCATATGATTTCATTATGAATTCCAATCTTCCAGCTTCCTCCTAATGTCCTACCTTCCACAGGAGAATCCTGCTATACTGTAGATTGATTAAGCCACATGTGGGATGTTGAGTATATAATTCCAGGCATCACATTTTTGGAAGGACACTGACACTCTGGAGAATTTCAGAGAACCACAAAGATGATAACAATATTAGAGACTATGCTACATAAGGATCAGCTGAAAGAATTGGGAATAACTGCTCTAAGTCTATATGTGTATGTATGTGGGTGAGGAATGGGGAGCATTTTACACACATACACAGACACACACACACACATACACACACACACACACCCAACTATATAAAGGGCTGTCATTAAAAAAAATTGATTAGATTTGGTTGTCCAAAGGGCCAGAGGGAAGAACTAGGATATCTAAGTGAAAGATGCAGATAGGATCAGGTTACAAAAATATGTGGAGGAGATCCCCTTTTAGAAGAGCAAAATGAGTCTAATTGAAAAATGGTGGATTTCCTTTCTCTAGATGTCTTCAAGAAAAAGCTAACCAGCTGGGGATATTGTAGAAGAGATTCCTGTTCAGATATATGTTGAACTAGATGTCCCCTGAAATCTTTTCCAACTGAGATTTTGTATTTCTCTTATTGCAAGGTGTGGGGTGTAGGGTATAGACAAGCTACACTGATTATGGTTTAGACAGGGGTAGGGAACCTGAGGCCTCAAAGCTACATGTAGCCCTCTAGGTCCTCAAGTTCAGCCCTTCCGCTGAATACAAATTTCAAAGAACAAACCCCCTTAATAAAAGGATTTGTTCTGTAAAACTTGGATTAAGTCAAAACGCCACACCCAAGGACTTAGAAGGACAACTGTGGCCTTGAGGTTGCAGGTTTCCCCACCCCTGGTTTAGAATAGAACAAGCTGCTCCTGGTCACATTGCTTAAGTCCAATTAACACAGTTTTTGCTACCAATTCTGTTTCCCTTTAGAAACAAAATATTACCATGATATCTTATGAACAGATCTAGATGAATTTACCTTTAGGTCTAATTAAGTTGTTGATTCCTGGCTATTATAGTAGAGATGTCTGAGCACTTCCTTCATGCTTGTGAAATAGCTCCCTTCATAGCTATATTACATATCAAAGATTTTAAACCAGAAGGGATCTAAGAAGTCATCTAATTCAATCTCCAATATGGAAGCACTGGATTAAAGAGGTCCAATTTCAGTGCTCCCCCCTAAAAAAACTCTCCATACTAAATTATTATAAGATGTTTGCTCTTATAACATAAAATATTATATATACATATGTAATATAAAATATTATATATAGTATTTTTTAATGAAGTCTTTAGCCTTATGTTAGAACATTGAAATATTTCCAAACAGTTTAAGTTTAATGGGAAGTATCCTATCAAGCAACTGTAGAGGAAATTAACTCTAAAGAACACTTCGGAATTACTTATGTTTCTCAACCTGCCTTTTTCAATATGTTAATTTTTTAGTCAGAGCAGAAAAAGGACAAAATTGGTATGAGTCACCACAGATTATTGTGATAGTCCAACTGTAATGGTGGCAGTATCAGAAGACAAAATGGGGTGGATTCAAGAGATGTTGCAAAAGTGAAATCAACAGGCCTTGGCAATACATTGGATGTGGATGGGTGAGCTTAGATATGAGGTGGAGGGGGGAGAGATAGTGAGAAATATAGGATGACTGCTAAGTTGTGAGCCTGAGGCACTGGGAGCATGGCATTGCCCTCTGTAGTAATAGGGAAAGTAGGGGAGGGGAGGATTTAGGGGTAATGATAATGAGTTCTGGTTTGGACATTTGAGGTTAAGATGTCTATTGGACCTCCAATTCAAGATGGCTGAAAAGCAGTTGGAGATGAGAGATCAGAGGTCAATAGAGAGATTGGGCCAGGAGGGATAGATTTGAGAATCACTAGCACAGAGACAGTAATTAAATCCATGGTAGCTGATGAGATCATCAAGTGAAGTAGCACAGGGGGAGAAGAGAAAAGGACCCAGGACAGAACCCTATAGTTAGAGAGCATGATCTGGAGAACGATCCAGCAGAGGAGACAGAAAAGGAGTGGTCAATACCCCTTAATGATAGTGCTTTCCCTCCCTTGATTATTTTCAATTTATCTTGTAAATAGCTTGTTTGTATATAGTTGTTTGCTCATTTTTCCCCTGTTGGACTGTGTGCTCCTTAAGAGCTGGAACTGTCTTTTGCCTTTCTCTATATCCCCAATGCTTAACACAATACCTAGCTTATAGTAAGCACTTAATAAATGTTTATTGATTGATTGGCATAAAGAATTTGTCAACAGGTATTTGCTAAATGCCCCTTATAATGTAAACTCTTTAAGGTCAGGGACTGTTTTTTATCTTTATATCTCCAGCACAGCACTCAGGGATACAAAGTAATTGCTTAATTAATTAATTGCTTAATAAATACTTGTTGACTGGATGCCTACCTTCATTAAATGCAGTATGATATAGCAGATAGGGTGCTAGACATGAAGCCAGGAAGAAACCACGTTCAAATTCTGCTTCAGACCCTTATTAGCTGTGTGACCTTGGCTAGCTCATTTAACTTCTATGTCTCCTTTTCCTCATCTGTAAAATTACAGGTCTAGATGACATAATAGTAATGAAAATAACAAAATAGCTAACATTTCTATGACACTATGTGCCAGACACTGTGCTAAATGCCATACAATTTTGTAATTTGATCCTTACAACAACCCTACAAGGTAAGTACTATTATTATCCCCATTTTACAGGTGAGGAAACTAAGGCAAACAGAGGTTAAGTGACTTGCCTATAGTCACACTGCTAGTAAATGTCTGAGGCTGAATTTAATATTAGGTCTTCCTGACTCTAGAACCAGTGGTCTATCCATTGTGTTACCTTTTAAGGTGCTCTCTTGCTCTAAATCTATGATCCTATGATTCTTTATCATAGAGGTGGTTCTAGGTTCAGCCAATCACAAGCTCCAGCAATTCCTATCAAGCTGGAAAATCTTTGAGTATGGGCCTGGAGACCAACCACATGCTTGTATCCCTAAGCAAGGACAAAGAAGTCCATCAGTAAAAGGAAAATCAACAGGGTGATAGCTGTTTCTGACTGCAGCAATTCACAAACACTGTCCACTAAGGTATAAAGGAAGTTGTGATTTGTCCTAGCTCTCCACTGATTAGATTAGAGATCTTCTGAAATCCTAAAGAAGTGCCACATGCCCAGAGAGTCAACAAGCACTAATGAGCACACTTTCTATGTGCCAAGCATTGTGCTAAGTGCTGAAAAAGAACACAAAAAACACAGTCTTTTTCCTCAAGGAGCTCACACTCTAACAACTCATAGTAAATAGTTTATATGAGATATGCTGAGAGTGGATGAAAGGTAATCCTAGAGGGAAAGAAGGCACTTGCAAAAGGGCATGTATTGGGAACAGGGTATTGGGTACAGATGGGGAAAGGCCTCTTGCAGAAAATAGAATCTGAACTGAGTCTTGAGGGAAACCAGGAGGCAGAGATGAGGGAAAAAGCATTCCAGATCTAGGACACAGCTAGTGAAAAGATGATGCCACTGGTGGGCAAATGACTAACTAGGAGCTATACTGCTAGTGATTCATGACTTCTTCATCTCTATACCATTCTACTAGAAAAGGTATATGAAGATCTCCCATGGAACTTTTCCATGTGTTTTCTAAGCGCATCGAAACGATCCATGCCACTAAACATTCAGAAAAGTTTTCACATTCTTCCTATTCTCAGAACATTTCCACTGACTCCATTCTCAGCATAAGAAAAATGATAGAAATTTGGACTCATTTACAGAGCGATTTTTGGCAACTATCTACTTGTTCATGTTTCAACTTGCAACATTCATGCCCACATTTGAACTACCGTTTATTAAACAATTTTGTTCATCTCTTCACCAGCAAAGCTTTTTGAAGGCACAAATGGGCGAAAGGTGTTCCACGATAAATAGCCATCAGTTATGCTTTTTAACTGGCAGCTAGGCAGTGCAGTGGGTAGAGCACAAGGGCTGGAGTCAGGAAGACCTGTGTTCAAATCCAGGCTCAGACACCTTCTAGCTATGTGACTGTGGGCAAGTCACTAAACCCCTTTTTGCTCAGTTTCCTCATCTGTAAAATGAGTTAGAGATGCAAATGGCAAACCACTCGTGTATCTTTGCCAAGAAAACCCACATTGGGATCATGAAAAGTCAGATACAACTGAACAATAACATTGTTTTTAGATGAAGTCTAACTTTGATATTCATTAAACCAAGCAAAAGTTGAGCCTTAAAGAGCTATGCAAATAATATCTGTCACTTCAGAACAAGGATGTTTAGGTTCCTGAGATGGAAAGAACTCTGCATCCCCAAGGTGGAAGGAATAACTGAGAGGGTACAATGGATTTCGGGTCAGAGGCCAGGGTTTAAATCTCATCTCTGCCACTTCCTACTGGTGTGACCTTAGGCAAATCATTCAAACTCTCTGGCCTTAGTTTCCTCATCCATAAAATAAAGGGGTTTGGGTGAGATGGCCTTGATGGTCCCTTTCAAATCTGATCCTATGATCCTAAGTCTCATTATTCCCACTTTATGCATATTTAATTGAGGCCCAGGAAAGTGATTTGCTTAAAATCAATGACCTATTTATTGGGCCATAAGAAATGATGAGACAGTTTCAGAAGAAATGAGGGAGGACTTGTGTGAACTTATGTCGAGTGAAGCGAGGAGATCAATTTATGCAATAACAGCAACATTGTGAAGACAAATGACTTTGAAAGACTTGATAATTTTGCTCAGTGCCATGACCAGCCACGATTCTGGAAGACCAATGATGAAGTACATTGTCACCTTCTAATGGAGCAGCGATGGACTTCAAATGTAAAATGAAACACGTAGTTTTGGACATGGCTAATGAGGTAATTTGTTTTGCTTTACTACATTTGTTTTAAGGAGATGAGAGTGAGAGAAAACACATGCTTGTTAAAGAAGGACCAGAATTTAAGAATATCTTGAGGGAAAAACCTGTGTCAAGTGATGCAATGGTTTTTTTTTTTGAAATACATAAGACAAAGAAAATAGAAATAGAAGGAAAATTTTGATTTTTAAGCAAAAAATTTAATAACACTGTTATGTCAGTCGATGCCATTGCTTCTTCTAGTGTTAATCGAAAAAAATTTTTTTAAATGTCACTGGACTAAGAAACGGGGCCAGATCGGTTGATTCCAAGTTCCTTGTTCTTTCCTCATCACAGGCCATTTTGGTCACGCTTACAAACAATGATCATTGGGACACTAGGCTTCTGGATCTAGGAATCTGAACTAGGCCATAAACAATGATTAGTGTAGAACTTTCTAGGTCCTCAGGCTTCCTGCCTCTTTTTTTTTTTAAAGGAGTATACAAACCAATCTTCAGAGCTCAGAGGTGTGGGAAGAAAGGGAATTACAATAGCTAGTATTTATATAGCACTCTAAGATTTGTTACTTCATTTGGCCTTCACAACGACCCCCTGTGATAGATGCTATTATTATCCCCATTGTACCGATGAGGAAACTGAGGCTGGGAGAGGGTAAGTGACTTAGCCATGGTCACATAGTTTGTGATTGTCTGAGGCTGGATTTGAATGCAGTTCTTCTTCACTCCAAGTATAGCACTCCATTCTATGCCACCTATCTATCTAAGGGAAACATTTTCACTAGGGGCCAATTAGAAGGCAAGGAAAAAGATAAAGAGACCAGAAAACCTGATAAAGACAATGATGAAAATGATGCAAAATAGTAGTATTTTTTTAAGTAGGGAGGAGAGCTTTCTTTTTCTACATTTATCTCCCAATTTCTCTACTATTTCTCTACTAATCCCCACTATTCTAGAACATAGGTAGAGAGAACCAGATCTGTAATTTCATTGGTATAGGAAATTCTGGAGGAGGAAACTCCTTCTGTCAATGTAGGTTGGCACCTTCTCTTAGAGAGCTGCTTAAAGCAACTGGGAAGTCAAATGACTTGTCTAGCATCGCCCAGCCAGTATCTGAGGCAGGACTGTTATGCATATCTTATGCATAAGCACAGAATTACTTAAAGTTAAGTAAGGTTAGGTGTAGCTAGGTGGTGCAATGGATAGAGTGCCAGGCCTGGAGTCAGGAGGACTTGTGTTCAAATGTGACCTGAGACATTTACTAGGTGTGTGACCTTGGACAAATCACTTAATGCTGTTTGCCTCAGTTCCTTCATCTATAAAATGAGCTGGAGAAGGAAGTGGCAAACCACTCCAGTATCTTTGCCATGAAAACTCCAAATGGGGCCACAAAGAGTCCGATACAACTGAAAAATGACTGAAGAATAACAACAAGTTAGGTTAAGAAGATTTATATCACTGAGGATACTTACAAAACCACTGCCATCTTCATCAAGGAATGGGTATGCCTGAAGCAGGGCATTGACAACATCATTGTACTGTTGGGTAGTTGGGTACCTGTTCAAACAAGAAGACAAAGAGAAATGATTTCAAAGAATCTCTGAGTTAGAAAGGAACTCGAAGGTCAGCTAAACCAGTAGTGTCAAACTCAAATAGAACCGGACACCTATAGCCACATATTGACTTAGAACAACACAAATTAACATTACCTATGTTATATTGTATTTTTATTTATTTTGTTAAAGAATTCCCAATTACATTTTAATCTGGTTCTGCCTGGGTGTTCCCCAATTTTGACACTTTTGATCTAGGCCAACCTGAGTAAGAACCTTTTCTGCAGAGGTCTTTAACAAAAATAAGCTTGTATTCTCTCCTTTTAGCAAAATTGGGATTTGCATAATAGCAGATGGATTGTGATTATGTTTCCTCAAATCTCTCTACTTATAGTCCTATTAGGAACAAATGGGAATAGACATTTGAATAATAGGCATTGTTGAATACTTCAGCAATTCATCATTTAAATACTGAAAAGAGCCAAGTCTGTATGATTTAGAGCCTATATTGTGAACAGATGCTCCCCTAAAGCAATATATGCAGAAAATTCATACTTACAATGATCCTTCGAGATACTTTGTCATGTCTGCTTGTAAAAACTCAATGATCCTTATCCTCATGCTGTGATCTGGACATTTTTGCTCAGTTAACATGCATTTGACATCATATGGGAAGTCCGGTAAAATATAAGATTTTGTCCACTGTAGTGCCTTGTTCCTTGCTAGAAGATGTTTCACATTTTTTCTGTCAACCAAACCAAATAAAAACAAAACAAAAATTGATAAGCTACAATAGGTATTTTCATTTCTCATTATAAATCTCATTCATTCCTTATCTTTGCTCTAAGCAACAATGATGTCAATTGCTTTCTGGAGTTTTCTGATTAGGAAGTCACTTGGGTGGGTGTGATATTCTATTCATCTTTGCATACATAACAGGGCTGGCTATGCTGGCACAATTCTTTCCTGTTTCTGGGTTCTTCTATTCATCCTATGTCTTTCATTCTCATCCTTTTCCCCAAATCTCTCTGTCAAGGGACACCAATATGATGTAGATCTTTGTTAGGCCCTCATCTGGAGCAAAATTCTGGAGGAACAGAGACCACGGGCCAAGGGTTCCCAATGAGACAGAGTTCTCCAAACAGAGGGGAGGACTCTAACTAGGGAGGGAGCAGATGAATAATAGGAATTGGGCCTGGGATTTAGAGAGCATTTTTTGGGTCACTTAAGGGGAAAGGAGAACCAGGTGAACAGGAAGCTGCTGAGAGTCGCTTGGAGACGAAAAATAACTCAAATAAAAGCAAGACAATAACAACAAGCAACATAATCCCCTCCCTTCCCCCACCCCAGGATCTTGCATGATGACTGCTCATTTGCTCTCTCTTCCCCACTTTCAACAAGATGTCCTTATCTCATTTCCCATATCAATGATGCCAAGGGAGGGATTACGAAGGGTAGTACCAGCATTTCTGTCCAACACCTAGAACTACACTGCGGATATGTGAACTGTCCATAAATATTATTCAAATAGTAGCCCCACTGTGCAGATCGGAGGAATTGCATTTTCCCTTTGTGTACAATTACAAAGCTTTGAAAGGCAGCAAAAATGACTTAATGATGTTCTGGGGGCAGAGTAGATTCCAGGCTATGCCAACTAACACAAATTCAATCTAATGTTACACAAGACAAGTGACTCATCAAGAATTAAAAATAAATCCTACTTTGGCAGCAGATGCTGGCAGCCATAACTTTAAACACTCATATACAACATGCAGATGGTATTTTTACTGCCTAACGTAAAAATAAATTAAAAAAAAGATTAATAATAAATAAAGGTTTATAGTCAGACTAAATAATAGGACTAGTCATATCCATTATTGAGTTTGCCAATGGGCAAAATGAAAACACATCTATTTTGAGGTCATCTCCACCTCTCTGCCCTGCATCATTCAAAGAGGCATGACCCACATTTTAAAGGAACTTGTACATACAGTGTGTTCCAATAATATTGCTATCCAGCATATTGCCGAAGGAAGTTATAGATACCAGAAAAGTTCCCATATACACAGAAATATTTATAGCAGCATTTTTTGTGGTAACAAAAACTAGAAATAAAGCAAGTTGCCATCAATTGGGACATATCTGAACAAATTATGGTACATAATGTAATGGAATATTACTGTACTATAAAAAGACAAAAATAAGGAATTCAGAGAAACTTGTGAAGACATATAAGCTGATATAGAAAGGGGGAAGCAGAACCAAAATAAAAATGTACTTAATAACCACACTAATGTAAATAAAAACAACACTAATGGTGGCAAACTCAGATCAATTTAATGATTAATCTTGACTCCAGATGATGAAACATACATTCCTTCTGTCATAGAGAGGTATTATACTACAGGTGAGGAATGAGGCATATAACAACAGACATGGTCAATATTTCTGTTTGTTTTGCTTAACTGTACTTTAAGGATAAGGAAGGATCTATTGGAGGAGGAAGTATTGTGAAGTGACAACAATGTAAAAAAAGCATGAATAAAATATTAAAAAAGAATAAAAGGAAGCCAGCACATAGCGTCCAAGTGAGGGGAGTTCAAGGCTTTGGTGGTGTTGTCTAAGAACTCAAGAATCCCAGCTTGGTCATGAGATGCCATAATACATAAATAGGAGATCTCCAGGTTATGGAATGTGAAAGGGTTGGGAAAGATCTGAGCGGAGACCCAGATTCTATGCTGGAGAAGCTCAGCAGTCTTGGTTTAGCTGTGGGTCCAGATGCCCAGTGGCTAAAATGTTCCCCTCATCCCTTATTTTTTGAGGTATGAGTCTTAGATGATCTGGTTTTCTTCAGCTACTCTGGTACCATGGTACTAACTGAAAGTTTATGCTCTTTGGGAATGGGTGCTAGGTTATGTTTTCCTATTGCTCTAGAAGAGGAAGGAATGAAGAAAACATAGGAGGGAGGTAGGGGAAGGAGGGAGGGAGGGAAGGAGAGAGAGAAAGAGAGAGAGAGAGAGCTCAAATAGCACATAGATGATATACTTGCTAGAGGTGACACAGTTTTGAAGGCACTAAGTCATTGATTCTCAAGATATTAAAAAAGGGAGAGATGCTAAAAAGACAATCAAAGACATAAAAAACTACCATACCTACTCTAATCTCTGTAAAGTATGGGACTTATCTACATGCAAAAAAGGGGTTGTTGTTGTTCAGTCATTTCCAGTGTTTTCTGACTTTGTGTAACCCCATTTGAGGGTTTTTTTTGTGTTTTTTTTTTGGCAAAGATACCAGAGTGGTTAACTATTTCTTGAGGCCAACAGAGTTAAGTGACTTGCCCAGGGTCACCCAGCTAGTAAGTGTCTGAGGCCAGATTTGAATTCAATGAGATGCCTTCCTGACTCCAGGCCCAAGACTCTATACTCTATCCACTGCATCACCTGGCTGCCCTTCCCTTCTCTCCTCCCACCCCCAGCAAAGGGTATTCTTGATGAAAAAAGGAAAAGACAAGTCTTTGCAACCAATATTCTATAGCCAGTGACGCAAAACTAACTGAAAGGCACAGAGAATATAAGATCTGTTGGTTACAAAGAACAGTCAGTGCAATAGAACAAAATGTGGCATTAAAAGTATCTCTCAGGGCCAAGTAAAACACAATTACAGCTATCCTGCTAAAACAATTTGTGGCATCTATTCAGCAGGACATAGACGACTACAAAACATCTGCTGTTGTTTACGCTTGCAAAGTTTTCTGTGGCCATGTCCATAGGTGAAGAGCATTTGCCTGAACGTCATCATTGACCACCTCCACCTCCTGCCAAGGTGTCATGCTGTTATTATTCTGGTTGACCTCTTTTACTAAAATGGTCCGTTCCATCCCCACATGGATCCTCCCCAGGCCCTATTCCTCCATTTCATGCCTCCAATATAGATAATGTGATTTTTTAAAAAAGACTATGTTTCTCCATCTGTGAAATTAGGGAGGTGAATGAGATGATCTCTAAGGCTTAGAACAGTGGTGAATACTCAAAACACATTCACTAAATACTCATGTATTGACTAAATCCATTTTGACTATTTTTACATCCGTGCTTAATATGATGAAAACTTAAGATGATGTGGAGACATTTAAGTAACATTCAAGCATGAAGAAAAATAAAGAAATGATCTGTACTATATTAATACTGTCTTTATTTCCAGAAAGCCATAACCAAAGCAATACCATCTTTAAAACGAGAGAAAATGCATGAAAGTATACATAAACCACAGTACAAGATTCAATGGCCAATGTGGACGATAGGCTACGTATCCAATCTAAGAGTTTCTTTAAAGGAAAGTTCACTTTTTAATTGGACCTTGTATTTGTGGCCTAAATCAGATCAAGACATCCCCAACTGAAGCAACTTCAGACATTGGGTATTGTAATTTGTGTAATGAGCATATAAAAATAGGGTAATAACTGAACAGAGGCGTTGAGGTTCTTGATGTTACTCAACAATGAGTACCATCAGCCAACAGATATAACTTTAGCATTTCAGCTAGTTACAATGTCACCATGCTGTGACTTTACAATGTTACAGACAGGTTTCAAATACTGCCAAAGTGAACACATCCAAACTTTTGGAGTTTCACATAGCACATTGCTCTGTTATCTCCTTAGTGCAGTTATCTTTGTTATGTTGCGTTATGCTATGCTTTGTTATGTTATATTATACTAATATTAATGTTACATTATACTACATATTGTTTTCCAATTACCTGTTTGTCTCTTCTGGACTGTGAGTTACATGAGGGCAGGTACTGTGTCTCAAAAAAAGCTTTATACCTTCCCCAGCACCTAGAACAGTGTTCTCATATGTAGGTACTTAATAAGCACTGTTTGAAAGAACAAATCAGCTCATAACTCTTCTCTCTTGCCCTGACTTTCTGCATCATGTAAACACATTTTCCAAGAGTGTCCTTGCTATGGACAGTTTTCTACAAAGGGGAAGGGGCTTGTATTACTGTCCTCACTTTTGTATGACAAAGTGGTTCTCTAGAAAAGAGAATGGGGGACCAGGGTGGAGTTCCCTTTGCTGTTCTTATTTCCATGTCTGCTCTTCACTTTGAAAGCAGTGCTCAGACTAGGTCCAGAGCTAAAAAGAGGCCAGTGAAAAGTGACAGGCACTACACAGGGACTGAGTAAAATGTTCATGACCTGCCACGCAGAATAGCCACATTATGCTATAAGAAATGATGAGCAGGTAGACCAGAAAAACTTGGAAAGACTTAAATGAACTGATGCTGAGTGAAGTGAGTAGGACCTGTAGAACATTATATACAGTAACAACCACGTTATGTGATGACTAACTTTGATAGACTTATCTCTTCTTAGCGATGCAAGGATCTAAGACAACCTCAAAAGACTCATGATGGAAAATGCTGTCCACATCCACAAAAAGAACTGTGGAGTCTAAATGCAGATCAAAGCATATTATTTATTCTCTGTGTGTGTGTGTGTGTGTGTGTGTGTGTGTGTGTGTGTGTGTATGTTTCTTCTTTCTTGTGGTTTCTCCCATTGGTTCTAATTCTTCTCTACAACATGACTATTGTGAAAACAGAATAAATATGAATGTATGTGTTGAACCTATATCAATTTACATGCCTTCTTGGGGTGGGATGAGGGGAGAGATGGGGAGAAAATTTAGAACTCAAAATCTTATGGAAGTGAATGTTGAAAACTAAAAATAAATTAATTAATTAAAA